CATTATCGGATTGGAAGATTTCTATTTCAACATGGAACTGCGTAAATACCATCCTCTGGAAGTCTTTCACAATCTTTGGAACTTCGTCTCTACTACGCATAGGAATTACCCATGTATAGCGAGAGTAATCATCTCGATCAATGTAATGAAGTACTTATATCTGCCCTTAGAGATTACATTGGTAGGCCCCCATACATCAGAATACACAACATGAACAGGATTACTTGAATGAAAAGCTGTTCTACATTGTTTGCTCAACTGACACGTTTGACACTGGAACTCTGGCACTGAACATGACTTAAATAAAACTGGAAACAAAGACTTTATTAGTTCGAAAGAAGCATGACCTAAACGACTATGCCACAAAAAAAAATGACTCTTATTTGACTGACTATGTGACTCTGAGGATGTCACCGAGAGACCAGCTTTGTTGTCAAGAATGTAGAGACCATCCATTAGGCTCCCTCTACCAATCGTCCTCCTAGAAGTTAGGTCCTAAAAAACACATAAGTCAGCAAAAAAGATTACACTACAATTTAAAGAGCTTGTAATTCTACTAATTGAAAGCAAATTTATAGGAAGTTGAGGGACATGCAATACACAATTCAGGTTAAGGCCATGGGGAAGAGATATTGATCCTTGGCCTGCAATGGAAGAAAAAGAACCATCTGCAAGTCTCACTCTATCCTTTCCTGACAAAAGGCTATAAGACTGGAATAAGTTAGGCTTACCGGTCATGTGGTTGGAGGCCCCCGAGTCAATTAGTAGCAAATGAAGTAGAGGGAGTACCAGTGACTGAGCTGTCCATTTGTCGCAGAGCCCTACCATAAGATTCCAGGTGCTCTCTGAAGGAATTCAGTATATCTTCCTTGGGGTCAGACCTATTAGGGTGGTCCCAGGTACTATCGGCAACCTGAGTATCTTGGGTTGCCACATGTGCTGCATTTTGAGTTGTGTTTATTTTCTTCTGATGACCTTGACCTTTACCCTGTTCTTGATTCTTCACTGCCCACTTAGGTTTCCCGTGGTTGTCCCAACAAGTGTCATGTGTATGCCGTGAGCGCCGACAGTGGGTACAGAACAACTTATCTTTATCATCAGTCTTCTTAGTGTCACTTTTCTTCCCCGTGGAGTTATTATTCACTGCAGCCAAAGCAACTTGTTGCTCCCCCTCAGCTGTAACCATTACATTCCGCCTACTTTCTTCCGATTGAACAAGGGAGTATACCTCGTGAACTGTCGGCAACTCTTTGCTTCCTGGGATCTGAAACCTCAATGGCTCATATGCAGGGTTCAGTCCCAACAAGAAGGCAAACACACGTTGCTGAGAGACCAGCTTCCTGTAGGCCTTAGCATCATCATCATGTTTCCACTCTATAGCCTGATAATGATCCAATTCTTTCCATATGGAGGTAAGGGCTGAATAATATGAAGACAAGCTACGGTTTCCCTGTTTACAGGTTGAAGATTCAGCCTGTAACTGGTAAACCTTAGCATAATGCCTTTGCTCAGAATAGGTAGTTTTGGCCTGTTCCCAGATCTCACTAGTGGTGTCTGCCCACATAAAGTTCTTCTTCACATCAGGTTCCATGGCTGCGAGGAGCCAAAACATCACCATACTGTTCTCTTGGTCCCACCTATCATGTTCTGCTGTCTCACCCTTGGGTTCTTTCACCCTTCCATTAATGTAACCAGCTTTACCCCTTGCCGTTACATAGAGTTTTACGCTCTTAGTCCACTCCAGGTAGTTCAGACCATTTAAAGGAGTAATTGGCATGGGAAAAATCATGTTTTCACCTCCCATACCTGCTGTGCTGCGGGTTGGTGTAACCCCTGATGAAGTTGATTCATAGTTTTCCATCGGAAACTGCTGAAAAACAGTCCAAACACCATACAACTACACAGCAGCCACAAACAGAATACCAACTCTCAAGGAATTTACTTCTARGATGTGAGGAAGAGAACAAGACACTGCTGGAATCAACTCTGAGAAGATTCAGTCATTAAACCAGCCCGGTAATCAGTTCAACACAACCAAGGCAGACATTACTAGCAGTCCGACTGCAGTTCGTACAGCCTAACAATCCAACAACCAAACCAATATATATATAACCAAGGAATAAGCCCTACACATCATCGGCCAAAGAAGACAGACACAAAGAACACACCTGTTCAGCAATTGTATGAAGGTGCTAACCTGAAATCGACTTCACAGCATCGAACAGAGAAGGCAGGGAGTCTGTATCAGCATCGCCCTTCTCCTACTAGGGTTTCCTTGGTATTATGACCAAAAAAAAAACACAGGAAGTGCCGCCAGAAATCTGCTAGGGTTTCCGCCAGTAATCTACTAGGGTTTCCGCCAGAAATCTGCTAGGGTTTCCGCCAATAACCTACTAGGGTTTCTCTGTCTTCCACGTCCAAGATTTTTAAGAAGGGAACCTTGCTCAAAATAGTAGGGATTGTAGGCCTTTTACAGCCCAGAAAAGCTGCTCTGATACCATGTAATGATTCATGGAGTGGGAGAGAGAGAGAGAGAGGAAGAGAAGAAAAAAAGGAGATGCGATTGAGAGGAAAAAGTCACTACTGGCAGCTGCCAGTTTTCTATTTATATTAACTTAATAAAAGAGAATAGAAATTACAAGTATGCCCCTGGCGACACACCCTAGAATCAAACTAATAAGAAAAAAAGACAAGTAACTAACTGACAGTATCTTAAGAAGTCAGCCTACTAACAGCAACTATAAAGTAACAATTAAATAAGCCTTACAACAGGAGCTTATTAACCAGCCCTAATAAACTGAATAGCAAATTAGAATCATATTCTGCCATTACTGTTTAGAGACTCTGCAACTAAACAAGTTGGGATGTTTGAAGCATATTATTACAGTCATAAAACATGGCATTGAATGCTCTTATTTTGCATAAAACATGTCTTCTGGATCTGGTCTTTCTACCTCTCAACAAAACACAAACAGGATGATTAGTTAGAAATGCACCCCTGCTGCTTTCATAGTTAACATTTTTTTTCATGTGAAGGCTGTAACATTGTCTTTTCTTTTTGATTAATGACTGGGTATTAAATAAATATTTTGGTCCCCCCCCAGTATGCTCACAGACATGCATATACACATACACATTCATGTGATGGAGATGGTAGTGAGGTATTTGTATACTGAACCATGTTCCCATCAGCTATCATGCAGGGAGAGAATGACTCGGCTAGTATTGAACATTTGATGGGACCAGAGGATGGAAAAAGGTCTTATACACTGTTTCAGGGTCATGCTGGACCTGTTTATTCAGTTAAATTTAGTCCACTTGGGGATTTTATTCTTTCTTCATCAGCAGACTCAACCAGTATGTGCTCTTTAATATGCCACATATGCTTGTTTATTTATATCTTGGTTACACTTTGCCTCCTAAATGCTGAACTTATTTGGTATTTAAAGAAGAATATATTGCCTGCTGCAGTTCGGTTATGGAGCACCAAGCTAAATGCAAATCTTGTTTGCTACAAAGGTCATAATTATCCTGTCTGGGATGTTCAGGTAGAGCTTAGATTTTTCCTAAACCTGGAATATTTTGCTAGTATCCTCTAGAGCTCTTTTCTCAATGGGGATTGTGCTGTAGTTTTTTTCCCTACTTATGTAGAAAGTTGGGATTAGGTAGGTCTGGACCAGGCTATAAAGTTCAAGTAGAATGGAATACATTCTCTTTTTACAACCTCCTGACATCATCTAAACACTGATATAGTCTGTTTTTGTGCTTTTGATACTAAATTAGCAAGATGTTTGTAGTAGAAGATGGAAAATGAACTTACTTGTTTGCTTCTAGCCCTATATATCCTGAACTTCGTATGATGCCCAGATATGGATACTAACACAGACATATATACAGGAAACAGGGATATGATTCTATGCTTCTTAAGTGTTGTTTCTCAAGACTTTGTCTTGCCAAATTTAATTAAATTTTTAACATATATAGATTTTTATAATATGATTTATAGATTTTCATATTTTCGAAGTGTTGAATTTATAGATTGTATCTAGAAGTGCCTGTGCAGTATCTGGCATAGTATTGAGTAGATATAGATATCATGCCTGTGACAAATGTGTTAGGCATGCCCAGGTATTTGTGTCATTGCTAAACTCTGGATTCCTTAGGTCCCTGACCCTGTATTCCATTTTGGCTAATAAGGCACTATATCCATGTTGCCATATAGTTTTCATATAATCATAGAATTTTCATATGCCTTTAGCTCACCACTAAGGATTATTTATGCTCTTGAATATTTTGATTGGTTATGATTGTAAAAGCACAACACCATGACAACTGTCACATGTAGGATCAGCATCTAGCACTCAGTGGGTCCCACAAAGGACATATTTTAGCCTCCGATTTCAGTATCTTTTTACTATTATCTATAGAATAAACTTTTGTATTTTCTGAATTTTGATCTATGAATTTATGTTGAAGACCTTCATGAGACCTTTTAAATCTTTGGTCATAGCCCTCAATCAACCATCATATAATATTGATTTATGCCTTTTCATTTTACATCTCAGGATTTCAACTCTCACATTGTGCTGATTTAGACACTGTTCCCACAGCATGCCCTGGTACTGCAGTAATAGTAGTATCATTCTCCTAACCTGTGAAGGATTAGGCATGCCAGCTGACTTGTTGCTATCATAGGCATCTGTCTTGTGCTTTTGGTTTTTCCCTAGAAGTTCTTGAACCTAAAACCACTCAGAATGGCTACCAGACAATTGTTGGCTTGGTGGGTCATAGACATAGATGTGCGGACATTGAATATTGTTGGACTTGGAGGTTTCTAGGGCATCAGCAGAAATTTAGGAAACAAAAGAAGAGAGACCTGGTATACATTATTTGACTGATGTTTAAAGAATTATTCTAATTAGAAGTTGAACTTTGAATGAATGCCCAACCAGGGATGCCCCTTTAACTTATCAAGTGGATTTTACTAAGTGTAAGGCTTTGTTGAATTGAGTCTATTATGTCAAATTACAAGTTTATTATAGGAATTCATGGAAAGAAAGATATGCTGTTTCTTAGGAGTTCTGAGTTTCCTTTTGGAAGAGAACCATGGAAAGCTATCTATGAATTGGAGTTCCCATGTATGATTTTTTTTTTTTTGATAAATGAGTAGAATTTTATTAATCATAGAAAAAGTGTACAATCAGCCTAAGAGTAGGCAGGAGATGTTACCTCCCCTTGGAACTGAGCACTAAGCAAATAAACATACTCTAGCCTGAATTACAATTATAAGGTATCCCAAAACAGATCACCCTCTGATACCCCTTGTTTAGTGGCCTAAGAATCAGCCAGCATTTGCCGATCTGCTGACCCACTGAAACTTAACTGCCATGTTTCTTGTCAGCCATTTAACTTTCTTCAAAAGATTCCTGTAACCCCAAAAGACTATCTGAATTTAACAATCAACTCTAGCAGTTTTTTTTTTGAATTCCAACGAATATTATTTTAGGAGTTTGGGAGAGGCTGAGAGGGGTCTACTAATATCAAAATTTATAGATCCATTATTAAACACAGTTTTTATCAATAATGTGAACTTTTTATGAATGAAAAAGATATAGAAACAAGATATGATATATTCTACAGGAATATAAAAGATGTAGCTGAACAAGTAGTGCCCCATCTTCCATCTTTGCTAAGATTCCCCCAAAAAAATACACCCCTTGCATGTATTTCAAATCCGTTCTTTCAATTCCTGACCTGTTAAGCTAACAGCCAATGAATTTGCTGATCTCCTGATCCTAGTGAATTAAATACTAGATGCAAGAGTTCCTGCATCTCTCATATAATCTCATTTTCCATGATCCTTATATTCAACATTCATCCAGCTAATTACTACTTATAAATCTCCTTCCACTTTCAGCTATTGGAATTCCAATAAGAAAGGCCATTACCCACTGGTTGTCCTGGCTATCTGGGGTTTTAAGTGGGGTTGACTGGGTACAAACCTAACCTGCATGAAGTGTCTGCTCTTAGACAGTTAGACTTGAATCTGTATTCTCACTTGTCAGCCTGAGATTTTACTATTGCACCAAGGGGTGGAATCTAGCCTTTGGAGTTCCAGCTCAAATCTACCCATCTCAACTCAGTAAGGCCTCTCTCCAACTATATTTACATGAATCCTGTTCAACTTTTCTACTCTATTCAGTTCCATATCCATTTTTAAGCCTTTGGCATTTCATTGAGTACTTTGATTACAATAGTTGTAATGAGGCAATCATTTTCATTCCAATGGTAGTTCCATATCCGGCTGGAATTGAGTAGACACAAAAGGTGGCACCATTTGCATCTCTAATGACTTCACTAATTCCTGAATTTCCCAAATAGCCATCAAAGTTAAGCTTAATTTCTGCTTGGGATGGAAGGGACCATGGTTGCACCTTGAGTTTGCCTTCTAGTGAAATACTTAAAGATTTCAGGACATGTTCTCATTACATCATCCACAGAAAATTTAGAAAACTCCTCTTGAGAGTGTCCAACGAGCTATCCTCAAATAAATATTCATCATTTCTCTGGACGGTTATTCTTTCTTGAAAATTTCTGTCATTCCTTCCATTCAGGCTATGGAATATCTGCTTCAATACACTTAATATAGTATTCCAAAATAGGACTTATATGCCTAATTATCAAATGATGTAGAACAACTATGACTCTTGAATCTAGGAATTTATTAATTATGTAGAATAGGGTTTATGGATGGTTGTATGGCTAATGGTAGAGATTGATTAAGTTAGGAGGTTTCAGAGTTAAACTACAAAAATTGTTTGTTCCAAAATTGTGAAAACCTTCAAGTTAAGAAACACAAATCTAGGATTGGAAATTCTTCAATGAGATTATGTACACAGGTTTGGAATTGACAGTTGCAGGGAGTGATCTTGTAGGATTTAGAGTAGGTCTTGCATAGAAGGGAAGAAAATATGCTCGGAAATTATAGAATCTAAGGTTCTGGGTAGAGTTTTGAGATGAAATTTGGCTTTATATATATATATATATATACAAAATGTACAGCTCCTTCATGATTGACTCTGAGGCTACTCTCATACAAGCAACAACCAATTCCTCAAAATCTGGCACGCCCTCATGCCACTCTATAACACACCATACAACCACAGAACTCTTCCTCAATTTGAGAGTGGTTGCCATCTCACAATCAGAAAATTGGTTAGCTGGCTTCCTTACCCTACCACCCTTTCCCCTTTCTCTAGTGCTCTTAGTAGACTTTTTGAACCTATTGTCATTTTGGATGTCTGAATGGCCTATTTTGATGGATCCAATTCCTTTTTTCTCTTACCCCATAAAGTCTGGCACACCCTAATGCCAACTCTGCCCCAATTTGAGCAGCAATTCCAGCCCACAATGAGAATTTTTTAGGCTCAGTTTGGGAAGAGTTGGCATTAGGGTGCAAATACAAGGTTTAGAAATACTGTATATTACATTTTGTGTTGAACATAGTTGTATCTGCACTCTTCCCAAACTGAGCCTTAGCTTGCCTCTTTACCCCTTCCTCTTTCTCTAGTGTTCTTATTTGGACCCTCTTGTCATTTTGGATGTCTGAATAGCCTGTAGCCCTTGATGATGGATCCAACTCTTCATTTTACCCCTACCCCTTTCCATCTCTGGAATCTTCTAAATGGACCAGCCACCATCACTTTCTTCTGGGAAAGCTTCCTCTGCTCCTTTTTCCTCCAAAGATTCATCCAACTCACACCCAGCCCCACCTACAACTACCATTAGCTTAGATCTCCTGCTTTCCTCTTCTAATCTTTGAAAGAATTATCTTGATTGGCTTTGCCACACAAGAGAAACAGGCAAACAGCCTTAATGATTTGGATGTTCTAACCTCTTGATCAACTATTTTATATTCAGGAACATTTGTTTTTTGATCAGCAGCAGAAAACAACTTTTAAAAACGGAGGTAATATTTACATTTTCTTGAGTAGCCTTGGCTACCCCAGTAGATCTTAAGTCAACATCAGAATCATTTTCTTATAGTTAGAATTGAGCCCAAAAGCAATTCCCTCTATTGACCCCTTGCTTAGCTAAATGATCAGCTAAGCCGTTTGCTGATTTAGGAACCCACTGCAAAACCACCAGGATGTCTTTTGAAATTTTTTATATCATTCCTGAAATGCCACAGAGCCTTAACATTTTGTTTCAGCCAACTTATGGTCACCTTCGAATCTCCTTCAACCAACAACTTTCTAGTTCCTATCTCCCATGCTTTTTGAACCCAAAAAACAGATGCCTCCAGTTCTGCGGCCATGGAGTCCCCTATCCCTAAAGGTCCAGAATATAAGAAAATCAAGTCTCCACCATTTCTTATCACCCCTCCCATTCCAGCAGCACCCGGATTGCCATAATAGCTCCCATCAAAATTCAATTTAAAGAAATCATCCCACTGGTGGTTCCCAGCTCCTCATTAGTTTCTGCTTTGCTGAAAGTAGAGGGATCAAACAATCTTATCCAAACTACTTGGAGCGTTCCACTTGCAACCAAACAAAGAAAAAAAACCACTCCCAAATTCAGTAAGCAAAAGGACAGGAAATGAGAAGGTGATGAGCAGATTCACCATTTGATTCACACAGAACACACCAACCAGGTCTACTCCTTTGTAATAATTCATGAGTATTGATTGCACCATGGAAAACCTCCCAACAGAAAGCACTCACCTTAGGGGGGATTGGATGACACCACACTTTAAAAAAGGAAACACAAGTGAACACCCCAGAAGGATGACCATCCAACAATTGTAGTAGTTGGGACACAATTCCAACCACTATCAGAAAGGGATGGGGAATGATCCAAGAAATGAGAGATAGGTCTACCCTTGAAAGATGAAAAAGCAAACGAAGATGGAAAAGACTCCATTGAAGGAGCTTCTTCTAGCCAATACTCCTCCCAAAATTTGATTTTATTTCCTGAATTGATATCAAACCTGGTATGAGTCAGAAAAAAGTGGAAGAATCTTGTGGATAGCCTTCCAAGGAGAAGAACTGGAAGTCCTGTTAGATGTTCTAGCGTGCCTACCATTCTCTGAAAGCCCATGAATGCTGACTACCGCTCTATGCTGTGTTTTTACTCCCTATCTCCTCTTCAATCTGAACATCAATCCTCTTCCATCTGTGTCCACCTGTATGCAACAAAGACTGCCCTTACAATTGATCAGTAACCAGACATTGAGAAACATTATTAGTAAAAGGATAAAAGTGCAATTAAAGTCATTTATGAGGCTGTGGGCAGCCAACAACTCTAAAACTCCCCATGGACTTCAGTGTATTTATATCCTTTGGCAATCAGTTTAGCCTTATACCTTACAATTAATTATTCTGTTTACCTTGTTCCTTGTAATGAATGCCCATTTACAACCTATAAGTTCTTATCCCATAGGAAGGTCAACTAGCTCCTAGGGCCCATTTACAACCTGTACATGTATAATTCATTAGGGACCCCCAAAAAAGTCCACTTTCAAAAAAGAAGAAAAGGTATCGTCTTTAAATACAGTATGTATAACAACCAACTACTAAGTTCCTCTACTACTATATATATCACCCTTGCTTCCAGACTTGATTTCTGTAATAAATTCTATTGTTTCTTTCATACCAAATAGCCCAACATAGTCACCAGAGGAATTTCCGACCAGTGAATTCTCCTCTCCCTTTTTTGGACATACCTGGGACACTCCATTCTTGTAAAAGTGCTTTAACTTAAAACGGGAAGCACCACTTTGGATTTAGTACCCTGATAAAATGATGCCAAACAGCACTACTAAACCTGCAATAAGACAGCATTTGGAACTTGAAGAAAACTGAGTATATTGTTTCTTATCCTTGCATAACACAATGGATGAGCAGAGATCAGAAGGAATATCAGAAGAACCATCCGGAAGAGTATCAGAAGATGTAGTTGGATCAAGAGAGGGATTGCCTGAATTACCTGAACTAGATGCCTTGTTATGGGGGATCAGCTTTATAAAATATCTTCTTGCAATGAAATTGGGTTTCATTTTTGTGTAAGCATCACCACAAGCTCTGGGAGGCAAAAGCCTGATTAACAAAATACTATGTCCTGACCATCACATTTAAGAAGGTAAAATTACTAAAATCTATGAAAAAGATAAAATTGCCCAAGCATCCATAGGAGGAAAAAACTAGAATATCTATTATCACTTCAATGCCTGCATCACCTAGGTTCCAACAAATTCTTTATATTCCCTATTTCTTGACACTTGTCCATATCAACATCATCTCACCTTTCCTCATTTTATGCAAATATTTATTTCTTGCCAATATTTTGCCCACTAGGCATTACCAATCCCATAGCTATGTTAACGAATTTCTCCTCTCTGATTTGCATGCCATTGGTGGACAGCAACAGAAAGATATATGGCCACTTTATCCTCCATTCTCTAATATTAATTTATTTATTTTTTGATCAATAACAATAGCTTTATTAAGAAACAAAGCCAAGAAAGAACATAAACTCTATTAGCTCTCCCAGAAAGGTACAAACAAAACAAAAACAAGAAAATTAGCAATTACAATTGAGCCCAAAACATTACATCCCCATTCACTCCTTGCTTTGCTAGCCCATCAGCTATGGAATTGGCATTTCTTTTGACTCAATTTTTTTTTTTTTTAATTTCAATATTTTGTGTTAACCAATTGAACCTTTTCCTTTCATTGCTGTAATTTCAGAAACCGCTCCTCTCATCATCCAACAATCCCACCACTAGCTTGGAGTCACCTTCTATGCACTAATATTAATTTATAGGTAAAATCTTTTGCAATTTCTCCCTTAAGGATAATGAAATGGAATCATCAAAAATATTTTCCAAGTGAAAGGATGCAAAACTATCAGTATGCATATTCGATAAGAAACAATTTGGAAACAGCCTCTCTGTATGTGCAGGGGTAAGGCTGCTTACATTTGTCCCTCCTCAGACCCCACATTGGTGGGAGCCTCATGCAATGGGCTGCCCTTTTTTATTTGACAAGAAGCAATAACAATAACATATTAGTTATGTTGTAACTTGTAAGATAATGCAAGAAATTCCAAGTAGGGATGAAACTTAAGCTGGTTTAAGCTTTTATTGGGATTCAGAACAGATAAGAGATGCTCAACTTTAACTCTTTGGCTTGATTTTTTATTTGATATATCCATTAGTGATGGAAATATGTTCTCTGCAGAAAACATTAATATTTCTTTTTCCTATACTTTTTAATGAACATTTTGTTCATTTAGATTTGTATGCATGTGTTCTATTGGTTGGACCTTAGCTCCCCTTCTTGATAATAAACATTCATCTATCTGTACGCACACATTGTATTGAACTCTTCTTTGTATTTAATATCATAAGTTTCTCTATTAGGAGTCATCTTATCTTATTCTTATACCAAACATGTTTCGGTATTGCATTTTGTCTGAGCAGTTTAGTCCTGTGGGGCATTACTTTGCCAGCTCTTCACATGATCGTACTGCCAGAATTTGGTCAATGGACAGAATCCAGCCTTTAAGGATCATGGCAGGGCATCTATCTGATGTTGATGTGAGTAATTAACTACATCTCTCTCTCTCTCATATACACATGCATTTAAACATCACATGAATACACGCACAAGTGCATTAGTGCTGTTGGCTTTGTAATTGTTCATCATTTTGAGAGATTTTGAGAGCAGTATATTTAAAATTTAAGGAAGAATTTAGGTGGTGCAGAAGAAATATTTTTTGGGCCCTATTGTGCACCTAGATTCTAGGAGCAATAGAGGTAAACTAAGGGGATAAAACTTATTGTAAGGTATTGATATCAGCAACTCAGAAGTTTTAAAGGAACTCAGAACTCCAAGGTAGAATATTTATTTTGTCTGTTGATAATGAAGAATTTATTAGCGAAATAAAAATTTAAGGTACTAGTGTACTACAGGTCCTTTCCAAATAGGAAGGATAGTCACATAGCCAATGGAGATAAAGTTTTGTTTTGGGAGGACATTTGGATTGGTAACTCTACCCTCAATGATCTGTTTCCCTCCTTGTTTTCCCTTTCTTGCCTAAAAAACCAACCTATTAAGAGTTTTGTTTCCTATTCCCTCTATTTCGGTCTCAGCTGGAATTTGGGTTTTAGGAGGGATTTGAGAGACTTTGAACTTGATCGAGTTGCTTTGCTTATATGTGGAAAAAGATTAAACCTGTCTCTCATAAACCATGTAAAGTCCATGTAGACAGGTTTCAGACCTTTATTTTTCATTACAAAAATACAAATACAATGGACTATACTTATATATGGAAAAAGATTAAGGGTTATAAGGAAAACCCATTATGGATGACATAATTCAGAACAGGTCATTCAATATATGTTTAGAGATCTAAACATTTATGTTATATGTTGGCTGGGGTTAACAAAGAGCAGTATTAAAGATCTTGTAGATCAAATCTAAGAATAGTTTTAATAGAGGGAAATTAAAAAAAAAAATAACCGAATGAAGAAAATACCTTGGATGCAGTTGATAAAAGAAAAAGAAAATACCTTGGATGCAAGTGATAAGGAAAACCTATTAAATAGCACCATTTTCAAGTCACAAGGGAAAAGACGACAGGTTATGTGGAGATAGATTTTTTTTACCATTTGGGAAGATAGGAATGAAAGTCTCTTTCAGTGGGTAAAAGCTGATCCAGATGCAGTTATTGAGTGTACCACAATCAAGGTGATTCTTTGGGTCAAAACATTGGGATTGTTTGACACCTTTACAGTGGAGGATTTCTTAGAAGAGGGGACTACAGAGAAGGTTCTTCACCTGCGAGATCTATCCCATCCTTGCATTGGAGGTTACCAAATCCAATTCAAATCAATCTACCCATTGCAGCAGCATGGGTAATCCATGGCCTTCTAGAATTGGTGACCTATTCGGAGATTGTAATGGAGTAATACTTGCTTTATATTTGTGTACCATGGGACATGGGGATTCTACAAAAGCAGAACTGAATGCAGTGCTTAAGGGCTAGGTTGGTTAGGTCTTTGAACTTTGACAACCTGATTGTGGAGGGGGATTCTAGGGTGATTAAAAAACAACAGTAAGGTTCCATGGAGACATCAGAACACTATGAAGGAATGTAGGAATTAGGAAGGGGAAGAATCAGTAGCTCTGTGGAACATAGAATAGCCAATTTCTTGGTGGATGGTATATCTAGACAAGGTGTAAACAAGAGCCAACTGTTTTGGGTGAGCTAAAGGACTTAGGATTGTAAAAGTATAAAAACTTAAGGGTGGGGTTAGTTAACTGATGTTCTTAGCCTAAGTGTGTGTTGGAGTTCTGATTGGCACATAGCTTCAATTGAATGTTGTGATCAATTTTTCAATACTCTTCTGTTGAACTTCAAGAAAATGATGGTTGATGGATCTATGGTAATGGGATGTATGACTGATGGATATTCCAGGTTGTCTTGGAGAGTTGCTGCCAGATGAAAAAAAAACATAAGAATGCTCAATTTAGATCTCAGGACAAATAAAAAAAAATCCATATTATCCAATCACTTCATAAACTTCTTCTCTTGGGACTGCTTGGTGGTCTCATATATATAAAAGCCTAATGTCCTCTAATAGCCAGTATGTACTGAACTATGTAGAAGACATTAAATTTTTATGAGTAGATAAAGATTATTTTTACTTTGAATCCTAATTTCTATAAAAACCGTCATTAGGGAAAGAATGGGTTTTACTTATAATGGAATGATCTATGATGTTTCCCTTGATGGATTTGATCACTACACATGAAGAGGGAATAATGGGGTCCCAACAATATCCAATAACAAACTATATCTCAGTGCTTTGACCTCCAAAGAGTGTTGTAGTTGATGGTGCTGATTTCTCCAATTGTCCTCTGATTGATGACTTCTTTTTCTTTTCATCATCCAGTAGTAATTGGGTGACTCCTATTGGAGGTTATAGGTTTGTTTTTTACAAGAGTGATAACTTGCAGCACTCAGAGGCAAAAAATATTATGGCATGGCCTCCCCTTTCAGTTAGTGTTATGCATCTCCATTCTTCTTAATATAAAAGATTTTATTAAAAATAAAGACAAATGAGATCCTCACTCCTCTTCTTCCTCCTCCCCCTCATTCCACTCCTCTTAAGGAGGCTTACGCTTCCTTGTGTTTGAGTGGCTTACACCTCATACGTTCTGAACTACGCCTCACGCCTCCAGGTAGTGGAATGCCTCGCATCATGCGTCTGTATGTTAAATACTAACTTGAATAGGTAATTCAAATAGATACCTAGAAGTGCAAATGCCTTGGCAGATTCTTTAACAAGGGCAAAGGTTTTAAGGGATCAGATGGAATGGTGATGCCCAGTGCCGGGTTGTAATTTGTAATAGTTTTTCTTTTCTCTACAAAAAAATGTCATTTGTTGGCCTGCTCCCTCTTTTGTGGGGAGTAAGGAGGTTAGCTTTTTGATGAAAATATTATTGTTATTTATAAAAAAAAAGTTTTCTGCCATGATGTTCTATCACTTTTTCTGGTGTTTAGATGTGAACAACTCTTTCGGGAATGGAATTTCAAGCACACTTCACATGCACCCTATGTCTGAAAACCAGGAAGTTGTCCCATCTGCTCTTGAATTTCTAGGAAGTCTTAGAGAGATAGAGGGTGGACTTGGACTCTAAAGGTCATAGCTGATGGTGGATACACGTTACCAACCTAATGTGGCCCATGCTAACATGCTCTTCATTGCCATTATAATTGCACAAATATCTTTTTTTTTTTGTGTGTGTGAACTCTGGACATAAAAGGAACTTTATCCCTTATTTGATAGGAGTTTGGAGAACATTCTCATTCTCTTGATGTTGTTCAGGAGCTCTTCTAAGTGTGCACATGCTTGGTGAAGGTGGTGTAGGAATTATTTCATCTCCAACGAGAGGGGGGAGGAGGGCAAAGAAATGGAAAAACCATCCTTCAGAACATGAGCAACTAGAACTGCATGTAGTACTTAAGTTACTTACAGATGATCTGGTGGGGAAGAACCACCCTTCAGAAGTCAAACAGTCATGGTGGGGAGGAACTCCCAAGGTTGAAGACGAAGATGAGCTGGCAGGGTGGTGGACACATGGAGGAAGGAGAATGGGTAGCGAAGATGAGTTGCAGGGGAAAACTAAAATAGTAATTAATCAGTCAGCTGGGGTAAATCAAACGACAAGTCAGCCTTTAAAGGAAGTTAATTCAATTTTTTTTGAACTAAGTAAAACTAAAGCAGGCAACTTATCCTTTTTTGATGTGGCAAAGAATTTAAGTGGACCAAGCCATGTACACCAAAATGCTTGGTCTGAACCAACTGGGGTTATGGGTGGTTCGATCACCAAACCGGGGTACAGGTTTAGAGATCCACGTGATAACTTAAAAGCTCATGTGGGTCGGGGCAAGGAGAAGGAACTAAGGTCGACTGTAGACGGACCCGCCAAGATCAAGTGGATGCTCCGCCAAGATCAAGTAGACCCTAGCTCCTTGCGACGTTCCTCAGAGAGACCGAACCCTAGATATGCAAGAGAGAGATTTGAAGAAACAAATGAGGTGGACGAAGGATGGGTGCACTATAGAGTGAATGATGAAGACTTGGATGATAGTTTAGATGATGGTACTAGCATTGGAAGTGTGAATGATGGTGGTGGTTATGATGCAGGTTATATGGGTTTGTTGAACATTGCAGGTCTATTTCAGGGGGACATAGAGGAGAAACGGAGGATCAATCCAGATTGCCAGAAATGTTCGACAGGTGATGAAAGAAGTCCTGGGACTCATGAAGTGGGGATGAAGACTCTTACGGGAATAATCTATCCCCAAGACTTCAGACTGTGCAAGGCGCAAATGAAAGGATAAATCAGGAGAACCTGAAGTAGTGCAGGAATACACCAACAAGGGGTAAACCACGGGGAGAGAGGACAGATTGCCATGTTGTCCAAAGGACAGAAATGCTTCCCAACCAACTCAGGGAGACAAATAGTTACCAACTCTCAGAGCAAGAAAGGGAGACTGTTAACATTAGCCCGAATCCACTTCCAACCTTCCAGTCAGATCCAGGTAACCAAGTGAATTCAGTTTTTTCTACTGATGCGTGTTTGTGTCCTATGTTCCAGATTCCGATCCCATTCCAAGTCCAGCAGCCCTAGCATGTGAAGCCAACCAAGGTGGTGGGTGCTCTAAGCTTATGGAGAGGGTGATGAATGAATGTGGGGAGGTGTTGGAAGGAAGGTATAGGAATGAGAAGGTGTGGGGAATCATTGAAAGAATACTTAGTGAAGTTGAACAAAATATGATGTGGAGGAAGGATATAAATGAGATAAGAGGGGAGGGGTCAATTGAGAGGAGAGAAGGAGAGAAGGGGAAGAGTTAGAGAGGATAGTGGTGGAGGGATCTAATATAGTGGATTTGATAGCAGAATTTGTGGGGAAGTTGGGATGTAGAAAGGAAAACTTGAATGTCTTCAAAGGTGGCCTACAAAACAAGGAGGAAATCAAAATAAAGAAAAGAAAATTGAGTGAAGTTGAGAGACTGAAAAGGGATGTGGAAGGTGACAAGAAGTTCGGGGTAAAAGGAGATAGAAGGAAGGGGGAAGTAGTGGTTAGGTGAAGAAGGGAACTAAGGAACAAGTGATTATGAAGATACTTAGTTGGAATGTGAGGGGTATAGGAAGTGCAAGGAAGAGAGCAACAATTAAAGAGGTTTGACCCAAACATTGTACTAATACAGGAATCCAAGAGGATGGAGTTTGACAATAGATTTGCTAAGAGTGTATGGAAAGCCGGGGGGGGGGGATTAGCTGGGTGGTTGCTCCCTCATGGGGAGCTTGAGGGGGGATAGTGACAATGTGGAAGAGGGATGTGGTTGAAGGATTGGAGGAACTGATCGGAAAATACTCGGTTTCCTTGAAGTTTGAGCAGCAAGAGGATGGTTATGTGTGGGTGCTAACAAATGTTTATGGACCAAATGATTACAGAGAGAGAAGGGAATTGTGAGAGGAATTGGCTGATGTTAGAGGGCTATGGGATGGGCCTTGGTGTGTGGGTGGAGATTTCAATGTGATTAGATTCACAGCGGAAACCAATAATACTAATAAGAGGGTGAGAAATAGCATGAGGAAGTTTAACCGGTTTGTGGATGCCTTTGAACTCAAAGAGATACTTTTAGCCCATAAGACATTCACTTGGTCCAATCTCTAATTGAGTCCCATCTGCTCTAAGCTGGATAGGTTTCTATTCTCCTTGGATTGGGAAGACCATTGGGGGAACTTAGCCTCTAGAGATCTTCCTAGTTTGACCTCTGACCATTGGCCCATAGTGATTTGCAAGGAGGATAGGAGTGGAGGACCTACCCCTTTTAGGTTTGAAAATGTGGTTAATCCATCTTGGGTTTACTAAGAGAGTAAGGGAGTGGTAGAATGAGTGTAACCCAATAGTGGAATGGGAAAGTATGAGGTTCCATAAGAAACTACAATTTTTGAAAGCCAAGCTCAAGGAGTGGAATCAATTGGAGTTTGGAAGGTTAGAAGAAAGAAAGAGAATCTTGATGGACCAACTTGAGCTCCTTGACTCGAAAGAAGAAAGGGGAGAATTTGGAGAGGCAGATAAGTAACAAAGAAGAGGTTTGCGAAGACAGGTAGAGGGATTGCCTACATAAGGAGGAAATAAGATGGCAAAAATCTCAATGCAAATGGCTACAAGAGGGAGATAGAAATACCAGATTTTTTCATTCTGTGGCAAATGGGAGAAGGAGAAACTTTATTTCCAGACTGGAAGTGGATGGAGTTGCTCTAACACAACAGGATAGCAGGGGCCTTTGTAGAACACTTCAAGTCCATCTTAAGAAGGCCTTTAAGTAGGGGGGTGTGGTTAGAAGGATTGGGCTGGCCAAATGTAGGGGTAGATAACAGGCAGAGGTTGGAAGAGATTAAGGATGTTGTGTTTTCTATGGACAGAACAAAAGCTCCAGGCCTGGATGGTTTTACAATGGCTTTTTACCAAGACTGTTGGGATATTTTGGAAGGCGACCTTTTGCTAGTGTTTGAGGAATTTCATAGGAGAGGAGTTGTTAACCTGAGAATGAATTCCACCTTCTTAGCTTTGGTTCCAAAAAAGAAAGATGCATCCCATCCAAAGGATTTCAGGCCAATCAGTTTGGTAAATAGCTTGTATAAGATTTTAGCAAAGGTTGTTTTTGAGAACTTCAGGAAGGATAGAAAGAAGGGAGTGGTATGTAAGCTGGATTTGGAAAGGCTTATGACCTGGTGGACTGGTCTTTCTTGCTGGAAGTTATGACCAAATTTGGGTTTGGCGCTAGATGGTGCAAATGGATTATGGGGTGTGTTCGGAATGGGACAGTGGTAGATTTCTTTCCAACCATTCGGGGCATAAGATAGGGGGACCCCCTTCTCCCTTCTTATTCACTCTGGTTGGTGATGTTCTGGGGAGATTGATTCATAGAGCAGATTCTAGGGCCCTCTAAAGAGGATAGAGATTTGGAAGGGAGGAAACCCCCCTTGCCCACTTATAGTTTGAAGATGACACGACTTTTTTCTGTGGAGGAGGAAATTTGAGGTACATTAGGAACATGAAATTGGTGATACAACTCTTTGAACAAATGCCCAACCTAAAGGTGAATTTTGGGAAAAGTTGTGTAGTGGGTGTGAATTTGGAGGGAGAGATTAGGGAAAGTGCAGAATTGTTGGGTTGTGAAGTCTCAGGATGGCCATTGAATTATTTAGGGTTGCCATTGGGTGATGATAATCCAAAGAACGAGAGTTTCTGGAATCTGGTTGTGGAAAGATTTGAAAAGAGACTTGTATCTTGTAAAAACAATTACTTGTCCCTTGGAGGGAGGATTACACTGATTAGGGCTACTCTAGCCAACTTACCCATTTATTTCCTATCAACGTTCAAAATCCCAGCAAAGGTATCTAACAGATTGGAGAAGATGATGAGAGATTTTCTTTGGGATCCGAGAGAGGAGAAGAGGGACCATAGGGTGAGTTGGGGGGTGGTGACTAGGAGCAAAAACCTAGGTGGTTTGGGGCTTGGGAACACTAGAAAAAGGAATTTGGCCCTTCTGGGGAAATGGTTGTGGAGGTTTCCACTAGAGAAGGAGAAGCTATGGGCTAAAGTAGTGGTAAGCATACATGGGCTCGAGCAAAATGGATGGGATGTTGGAATCCGAGCTAGGACTATAAGCGCGTCACCTTGGAAAGCTATTCATGATTTGTTACCCGTCTTTTCCCCTCTAATCAGGTATGATTTGAATTCAGGTAACTCCATAAAATTCTGGGAACAAACTTGGGTGGGGAATGCCCCTCTAAAAGACCATTTTCCTTCCTTGTATGCTCTATCTGACCTGAAAAATGAGCCAGTTTGTTCTTTCATTACCCCTTCCTCTTCCAATTCTGGGTTTGGGTGGAATTTGGGTTTGAGGAGGGCTGTGAGAGACTCAAACCTTGACAGTATTTCGAGTCTCCTTGGACTTCTTGATAATGTTTTCTTAGACCCTGCTAAGTTGGACTCTAGAATCTGGACCCCCACCCCCACTGGCTCATTTTCCTGTGCCTCTTTCTTCAAAGTCTTAAGCCAGTCCACCAATCCTGTGGCCCTCCCCTTCCCTGTTAATGAAGTTTGGTGTAGACCAATTCCTCCTAAGATTGATAGTTTTTGCTGGGAAGCTTTTTTGGAAAGAATCAGTATTGGTGATCTGCTCCAAAAGAAGAGACCCAAGACATGTTTATCCCCTCACAGGTGTGTGCTTTGTAAAACGGATGGGGAAACTGGTTTTCACCTATTGGTGTCATGCCAGTTTGCAAAGTCTATTTGGGAGTGGGCTTTCTCCCTCTTTGGGTGTAGTTGGAACCCTCCATCAAACTTGCAAAATCTTTTTTTCCCTTCTTTCTTTAGGTGGCGTATGAAAAGGGGAAGGACCATGTGGAGATGCCTAAGGGCTACGGTATGCTGGTCTTTATGAGAAGAAAGAAACTCCAGGATCTTCTCTGAAGTAGAGAGAGGTGCTGAAGAACTGAGAGAACTGATCCATATAAGGGTTGTATAGTGGCTGAAATCCTTAGTGCTGCTCACAGATTACACAGTGGACAACATGTTGAGGAAGTGGGGTGAGATTGCTAATTGCACCCAGACCAAAACAGTAATGAGTGTGTACTCGACCCCCCACCTGCTGGTTTCTTAAAACTGAACTTCGATGGGAGTAATAGAGGGAATCCTGGACTCTCGGGGATTGCGGGTGTGTTTAGGGATGAGAATGGGTTTGTTTCAGCCCTGTTCTCAGGCCCAATTGGAGTGGGTAACTCTCTCAGAGCCGAGATCTATGCAGTTATGGAAGGAGTCTAGAGAGCTAAGGAGACGAATATAATAAAACTCATAATTGAAGGGGACTTGGAGGTGGTGGTAGGGTGGCTGAATAAAGACAACAGTGGGTTATGGAATAACAGCAATGAGAGGAGGAAATTTAGGTGGCTGGTTCAAGAGATGGAAGTCAAGATCAGTTGGGTGCAGAGATCAGCTTAACTCTTTTGCTGATGGGTTAGCTAAACAAGGGGTGGAGAGGGAGTCAATGTTTTGGGCACAGGTGTAGCTTTTTTCTTTTTCTGTTCTTGGGGGTTCAAGCTTCAGATGGAAGATAAGAAAGTTTATCTTCCCCTTTGTAATTATTTCTGTGATTAATCAATGAAATGTGTTATTGATCAAACAAAAAAAGACTTAGTGTTGAAATGTTTATCATGCATAGGCACTAGAAAATAGTTGTTCCACCATGGCCATGTTGTATTTGCATTGAAATGTTTTATTTGTGTTTTTCAAACTTCTCAACTGATTCTTTAATTGAGGCACCTTTCATGATTCAGTGTGTGCAGTGGCATGCAAACTGTAACTACATTGCAACTGGATCTAGTGATAAGACAGTTAGATTATGGGATGTCCAGAGTGGGGAGTGTGTGCGCATTTTCATTGGTCACAGGAGTATGGTTCTATCATTGGCAATGTCACCTGATGGTCGGTATATGACATCAGGAGATGAAGATGGGATGATCATGATGTGGGATCTCTCAAGTGGTCGTTGTGTTACACCTTTGATGGGGCATACCTCTTGTGTATGGACACTTGCTTTCAGGTGGAAATATCTTGATGCTCAAAAACTATGGTTTTCCATACTATTGTTATTTATTGATGTTGTTTCCTTACAAGAAGCAATCTTCAATTAATTATTATTACTCAACATCCTTCTTGCTTGGTATTGTCAGTCGTGAAGGCTCTCTTCTGGCGTCTGGATCTGCTGATTGCACTGTAAAACTGTGGGATGTGACTGCAAGCACAAAGGTGGCAAGAACAGAAGAGAAGTAAGTCTAATTGTTCTAAGAATTGCTTGTGACAAAAAATTTCTGCTAGGCATTTTTAATCGTTCTGAAGAGAGATTTAGTATTTTTATTTCCTTGTTATTAGCAAATCCGGAGCTATGAATAGACTGAGGTCATTAAAAACTCTACCAACCAGATCAACTCCAGTTTATACTCTCCAAGTAAGTGTCCAAATGCATTTCTAGGAAATTTTATGCTATGGTCTCCCCCATCCCTCTTATCTATTGATATTGAATAAGGAACTCTGATAATCTAATGTTGATTACTCATTTTGGGGACAGTTCTCTCGAAGGAATCTTCTATTTGCAGCTGGGGTGCTTTCAAAAGGTGTATAAAAATTGAATTTGGACAGCCCATACTAGAATTCAGGAAATTCAAGTAGGTCGGTGTAAAGTTGTCTTAATCATCCCTTGATGGGGTAAAAAGCATTGTTTTTTATCTCTACACGCTTTCTTCTTACACTTGAGTTCCCGTTCTAGCATTGCCTTGCTTTTAGTTTTTTAGGTTATTGTTGTTACTTGTTATTCTATCCTGTTGGTTTGTTTATTGTACATTCAATCTCACTTCAATTATTGCATCAATACCTTTCCAAGAACACTTGAACAATCTAATTATTCCTTAAGCATCTGTTGTGACTTGTAATTTTTGCAACTTAAATTAGTGCTTAGTGGGTCAGGATATCTGGAACTGTCATGAACAAAATTAGCTGCTATGTGTCAGGCAACAGGTGATCCATTGGAAATGGATCCAATTGGATAGCCCTGTGATTTCTTCTTAAGAAGACAAGGGTCGACATTTTAGAGAGAAATTCTCGTTACATCTGATTATGCAGGGAGATATCCAAATACGAGGTTGTTTGGTGTTATTTGTTTCACTATGCGTTTCCATGTGGATCTATAATCTATGGAGATTGCATACTGAGCAGGTTGATTTGATTGTTAATTCAAAAGCCAAAGGTCCTGGCATGTTGGTAGCCAAAGTGTACTTGCTTTTTCTTGGTTTTGCTACTAAACATGGTTCAAAGTCTTGATCCGAACTCCATGAAAACACCCCCTAAACCTATGTAAACAACATTTCAATGGGTTCAGCAATCGATACTTATAGGGGGTGGTGTGTGCAAAACCAAATCACTGACACTGCAGCCAGCATTTCTTGTCCGTTTTACATGAATAATTGACAATTCGTAGTGGCAAATTAACATGGACCATAAATCATTTTAAACCCTCAATATCAGAGAATGACGTACAATGTAAGAACAGAAGATGATAACTTACTTTTCCAGCCCCTATTGGTCCACATTTCCACTGTGAAATAGTGGACTAGTACGAATACTAGATGGGCTACCCGTGAACAGAACAGTAAGCTCAAATTTTGACTGATACAAATACAATGAACACAAGTGGAATCTCGGGCATGAAATGCCAAGTCGAAATGATCTTCAGACTGGTCTAGAGGAAAATATTTCTCTTCTATATTTTACATCTAGAGATAATAGCATATAAGGGCAACTATTGGGGTTTAATATCAATAAAAGTAATATTTTTAAAAAATTTTAAAAATAGGTTAATTTTTTGAAAATAATATCAATAAAGGGCCAAAAACACTATTCAACATCTTCTTGCCATTTGTCCACCAGTGCTGCTGTCAGCTGTTGCCAGCTGCCCCCTCTGCCCATCTCCGCCTCCGCCTCCGGCAATGTTGCCGGAGTGGCCGGAGGCAAAGGTGGTGGTCATTTCTCTGCCCAACGTCGCCACTTTCACCCACCACTGCCTTCGCCTCCAGCAATGTTACTGGAGGTGGGTGGAGACTGGTGGTGGCGGCGGTGGCGCTGGGTAAAGGAATGACCACCAGCGTTGCTGCTGCCACCTCCGCCTCCGGCAATATTACCGGAGGCAGTGGTGGAGATGGGCGGAGGCGGCGGCTGGCGGCGCTGGTGAACAAATGGCAAGAAAAAGATGAACAGTGTTTTTGCTCTTTATTGATATTATTTTTTAAAAATTAACCTATTTTTGAATTTTTTTAAAAAAATATCACTTTTATTGATATTAAAGTCCAAAAGTTCCCCTTATATGCTATTATCCCTTACATCTATCCCTGTCTAATTGTATCCCCAACGCACATAAGAAAAAGACATGTTCCTTTAACCCCCCCACCGTCTTGAAGAAAAAGGAAACAGAAGATAAAAAGACATCTGTCATGTCAATTTTACAATTGTACACAGTAAGTCTGGAAAAATTCTCATCTTTTGTGGTCCAAACTGTTTTGGACCGCACAGTACGTTCCCTTCTTCCGTTCATTTTTGTACATCTGACGACAACAAACCTCTTAACATTGTCTATTGGTCCCAAATTGTACCTTCAATCACACTGGGCGACTCTCAGATTGGCCATGTGACCATGCCTGGTGTCATAGTTGTATCAGACTGCCGTGCAATTAATTGAAGCAAGGTATAAGTATACTGGTGGACTGAACAGTAAAAACCCCTTAATTGCATAGAGAATACTAGACTTGGAATAGAAATACACAATCTAAGATCCAGGTGACTGTTGTATTGTTTGGAATCACACTCGATGGAGAAAGGACGGGCACTAGCTATTGAAGATTGTACTGGAATGGCCATTAACGGGCTACCAACCAAACCAAATAAAAAGTAGGCTTAATTAGTTGAAAGTACCCCCTGAACTATCTGAAAAAAATACTAGAAGTACCTGTGGAATTCAAAAACCTACTTGACCATGACAAACCTACTTGATCACCCTTCGGTTAGTTGACCGCCAGAACTCGTGTACGTGTGATATCACGTGATCAGTTTAAATTAAAAAAATATATATATTACGTTTGCCCTTACTTTTGTCATTTTTCTTGTTTTGTTCCATTGTTTTTTAATCGTTCTTGACCCGGATGGTCAGACCGTTCGGCTCAGGAACTATTCAGGCAATCGATTTTGTTTACTCCAAACCCGGTCCTTTGTCAAAAATCGTTGAATCAGTCAACGACCTATTGACCCAGGTGGTCAAAACGTTAATCCATTCAACAGTTTTTTGTCATTTTTATGCACAGGGAGATATTCTTCATGTGTGGCTGTGATGTTATGTGGGTACCGTGGGCAGGAGTTTCGGACTCGGTATTCTACAAAATACCTACTCCCTCCAACCCTCCTCAACTGGTCCCCCGTCCCTGCCCTGTCCATATTAGGTAAGAATCACCTTTCATGTAAATGTTTCATTGAAAACGGAAAGATTAACAATTTTTTTCTTTCTTTATATTATAGGACAAAGAGAGGATGCAACTATTCTATGTCGCTAAATGAATTGAAGATGTGTCCATGTGAAAATGTTGTTTGTAGACACGAAGGGGAGGCGTTTTTGGGTTTGTGGAAAAGTGCCAATAAGATTTTGTTTCGACATCAATTAATCAATTATTGTGAAATTTCTAGTGGTTTAGTCTTTAACTTATATTAATTTATGTTGTAGGAAACTAGGAATACAGTGGTTGTAATTTCTTTGCTTGGATACCGATTCAAGGTGAATGTGATGGTAGAGAAATAGTTGTCAAAGGGGAAACACCTGTCAATCAAAGAGGTTTACTAAGGAGACATTGAACTATGTCGAGTCAGTGGTGCAAACGGAAAAAAAGTTGCATTAAATAAGATGGTTTATTTCGATAGTCTGCTTGGTTCAGACGGGAATAGGAATGGAAATTGAAAATTAACAGGGGATGGTTATTCCCTCAAATGGGGGAATGCCATTTTTGCAGGATTGAGAATGGGATTCTGGTTCTACCCAATCAAACAGTTGGAATTGGAATAGTCCATTCTGATTCTGATTCCAGACCCCTATTCCTGCAAACCAAACGGCTATGAAAAATGTGAACATTATGAGTGATTAGGATGTTTAGAATGCTATAAAAATTGCATAAAATATGATGTAAGTTTTTTTTTTTTTTTGTAATAAATAGGATGTTAAGTTGTGGTACATGGAATGCTAGATTTGTTTTGTTTAAATTAAGTTGTAGGCATCGTAATTTATGTTTCAACTCTCATTTTAATCTGCTTAACTCCCAAAACAGTGCGATAACATTAAGGCTTATTAGCTTTTCTAAAAAAACCACATTCTGAATTAGCTCTCTTAACCATTCTACTTAGGAGATTAACCAGATTCGAGTTGCCTGGCCAATCAATGCAGGTTATGTGTTCTAGTGGAACATATGCATCTCATAATCCCTTTAAATGTTGAGTTTATATTGGGTCAAAAGAAATGGGGTAGTTGCACCAAAAACCAACATCATACAATGATGGCCTTGATTTATCCTCCCTTGCTAGATAGTTAGTCTATGGTTGAGTAAAAACTCCAAGCTTAAGTAGAGTGTATGCATCGCCTTTGTTAGAGATTTTGGCGGTGTTTGACATTGGTGCCGTTTTTTTGAGAAAATGGTGCCATGTAGGCACCACATCAGAAAAAGCAGTGTCTTAGAAAATCTCTTATTTGGTACCATTTTTTCATAAAAAATGTTGCTTCAGATCATGCCTTAGAAATCGGGAAAGTGTGGTCTGAAGAAACATCAAATTTGGTGTTTTCTCAGAAAACATCTCAATTTTGCTAGTGGCGCAATGATGTGGCATCATCTTGGACATTGTATAATATGACCAATGCTGAAAACGATTCTACAACACTGGTACCAAACAAAACCAGCCATGTTTTCCCAAAAAACAGCCTATGTGGCAGCACCGCTTCCAAACAAAAAATAACCACCATTTTCTCATGTCCTAGCACCGTTTTTATGATAATTGCACCCAAATGATGCCAAATGAGTATTTGAGTGCATCAGGATACAAATACCATGTATCCATTGAATTGATAAGTGAAAACCCATTGAGGTTCTTTAGCGGCTATTTGGCATTGTTGCCGTTTCTTGGAGCAACGGCAATGATGCCACATTAGTGCCACGTGAGAAAAAACGGTGCTCTAGGAAACAACCATCTGTTTCGAACCGTTTTTTCATAGCAAACGGTGCTCCAAGCCACACCTTGGCAATCGGGAATGCATGGCTTAGAGCAACGTCAAATTTGGTGTTTCCTCGAGCTGCAGTTCGTTGTTGCCAATAGGGCAGTGATGTAGCACTGGATAATGGGTAGAAGTGCAGAAAACATTTTCTAGAGCATTGGTACCAAACAGAAAAAGTTATTGCTCCAGGAAACGTCCTACTTGGCAGCAACAATTCCGAACAAGAAAAAGGCACTGTTTTCTGAGAAAACAGTGCTTCCAATCCACACATCAGCAAAACGGTGCTGCAACTGCAGCATTGATGCCAAACAGATACTACATTTATCATATTTCGTCCCTAGCAATAGGGAGTAATAAAGGGGTTCCTTACATCTCTACCTGTTAACTCTCTCCATATACAACTTATACAAAAAACATAACCACCTTACATTACATTTCCCACTTAAAAAAAAAGAGTTCAAATTGCATAAAACTTAAGCTCCTGGTTGGACTGTTCCTCAAAATGATTGAGGTATACAAGAGAAGGAAGTCATACATTGAGAATAGGGTAGCATGTAGCATGACTAATTGTTGTGAAAATGACTCACATTCATGGGTGGAAGGGTGGGATAGGATATTTCCTAA